TTAATATTATAATATAATATAAAATAATTATAATCTTTTGATGTAAATTTAAATGAGAATTTCATCTAATTAAAGTTATTTTATTTCATTTTATAAATAAATTTTAATTTTTGTAAAAAAGTATTTTTTATAATTAAGATTGTAATATTTATTAAATTTTATAGAATTTCAATTATTTGTTAAATTAAATAATTTAGAATAATAATTAAGGAAATACAATATCTCCAAATTAAAAAAATTATATATTTATAATGGGGATTGAACCCATAACCTCAAAGTTATAAAACTTACACTATACCAACTTAGCAAAATGTACTTAATATTTCAATTTTTTCATATATATTATTAATTACATATAGTTTTTTCAAAAAAAAATATTTTTTTAAAATAAAATCGCGATTTTGACATGGGGATTTTATCTATTTAAAATAATTTATTATTTTAGGGTTTATTTAAAATAATAAATTTACAAAAAATGCTATTTTAAAATTTTATTATTATTTAGATGTCAAATTATAAATAAAATAAAATAAATTAAAGCAAAAACTAAACAATGTTAATTGTAACTTAAATTTGTGCCAATTAATTTAATAATATAAGGTCCGTTAGGCATCATTTTTGCTTTCTATATATTTTTCTTTTTCTTTTTGTCTTTGAAAATATATTTGATTACTACAATTTTAGTATGTTTTTATTTTTATTTTATGGAATAAATCAACTTATTTAAAAATATTTAAATATATATAAAAAGTGCTTTGAATATTTTAAAAAATAGCTATCATTATTAATCATATTTTAATTAAAATCAAAACACAAATAAAATAAAATAAAATTGAAAATGAAAAACAAAAACCAAAAGCAATCCCAAACTGCCCCTAAGTATGTAAAAATAGTGTTAATTACACTTTAGGATCCGTTAATGGTAGCTTATTTGGTGCGGTCACTTTTTGAAAATGCATCTGACCTGTTTGGATAAACTGTGTTTTGACAACTTATGCGTTTTCAAAATGCTAGAAACAGCGTTTTCACACCGTGCGGTGACAGCTTTCTGTCAGCGGCCTGACTTTTCAAAAAAAAAAAAATATATTATAATAGCCACCACACCTAGCTTATCAACAGATTATTCAATGAGCTTTAGCTGTCTTTAGCTGCCCCAAACAGACCCTTATTTAAGATAAATAGGAACTCATAGCTGAAAAAGAAAGAAATGTCTTTGCCAAATACAAGCAAATTTGCTTCAATAAGTGGAACTAACTTTTTTTTTTTTGCATAATTACAGGAGGATGTGAAACTGATGAGTGATATGGGGCTTGAGGCCTACAAATTCTCAATTTCTTGGTCTCGGCTTATCCCTGGTATTAACGAGTTAATTTTGCAATTTTGCTTTTACAAAGTGAAAAAGGAAAAATGCAAAAAGGAATTTCATGTCTACCCTTCGACAGATGGAAGAGGAGCTATCAATCCAAAGGCTCTCAAGTACTATAACAATCTAATAAACGAGATAGTAAGACAAGGTTTGTTTCCTGATATTTTATATTAACGTGTATAATAATTTAGTATAATAATTACATCAAAAACTTTGCATGAAAATGCATGTTTATTTCAAGAAAATGAGTAAGAGACATATTTTTTTTTATATGATGTTAAATAATCAAGTGTTATTTATGTAAATATTGAAGTATAAGTGGTTGATATATAAATATATAAGTATGGTGGGGTATTTATTTAAATACCCCTGTATCTTATATATCTTAATTTTGAGCAAGCTATGTTTTTTTGGCTTCTCTAACTATAAATTTTTGGCACAAAAAGTAAGCTTCTTAATAATTTTTTTTATTTGCTCACACTTAAAAATTGTTTTATGTTAACGTCATGTTAAGTTGTGGGGTTAATAAATGTGTCATGTCATAAATAACTCGAATTTTATAAAATTCTAGTGTGATTTTGGAAAAAAAAATCTCGTCCATAGTCTGGACTCAAGCTTGGTCTAGACGAAGGCACGATGCACGGAGAAAGCGAAGAAAAAAAAACGGGCCTCTCCGTGCATCACATTCGTTGTTCGGATGCAGCTTTGATCCAGACTCTGAATGCATTATTTTCTCGTGATTTTGTGCCCTGATATTCTCTTCTCTTTTATGTTCTTTATTGCTTTCTATTTTTGCACAGTTTCAGCCTATCTCCCAGCATATTTAGTTGAACATACAAAACATTCAAGCAACTTCCAATTTCTACCGCTCTTATTGTTATACATCTCTGAAATGACTGATGAACTTTTCGCAGGGATCGAGCTTCATGTCACTCTCTATCATGGAGATCTTCCACAATCACTTCAAGATGAGTATGGAGGATGGCTGAATAACAAGATCTTGTAATCATTTCTTCTCACATTTCTTACATGATTTAACTGTTTATTTCTCATCATTTTAAATTTTTAATATTTATTTAGTATATAATTCAGATAGTCTTATTTTTTATTTCTTAGATATAAATTAAAATAATTCTTAGGCGTTTCAAGTACTTTTTAAAATAAGAATCTAGCCACCGCTCGCCATTGCTGCCTAAGAGTATTGAATTAATTTCCAGAAAGCTTAAAAATACCTCCTGGCTTTGCCACTGACGCAGGGATGACTTCAAAGAGTATGCCAATGTTTGCTTCAGTGAGTTCGGTGACAGAGTTTCTCGCTGGACCACATTTGCTGAGCCTAACATAATAACCATGGCCGGCTATGACAGAGGAATATTTGCTCCTGGAAGGTGTTCTTATCCTTTCGGACTGAATTGCAAGGCTGGAAATTCTACAACCGAGCCATATATTGTTGTTCATAATAGCTTGCTCGCACATTCTCAAGTTGTGAAGCTATACAAAGACACTTATCAGGTGATTCTTCAGGCCAACTTTCATGATGGAATCCTAAATCCTCAGATTTTTCATGATTAAGAAGGAAAGAGGGGAATTATGTGCTTTTGCAGGCTATTCAGAAAGGTTGGATAGGAATGAATGTTTACACCATTTGGTACTATCCACTCACAAACTCCTCAGCAGACATTGAAGCTGCACAAAGAGTAAGGGACTTTATGATTGGATGGTTAGTACTTGCACAAATTTTGTTGTTTTATCTGGTTTCTCAAGTAGTAACAACGAATTTTTCTTTTAGCTCATCATGGCGTTAGTTGTGCGAGTTCATGCCATGGTATGATAAGTAATGGCCTATTAGTGTTATCAACCCTTATCAAATGCTTGCGATTAAGTAGATGAGATCACTTTAGATCGTTATGATATATCAAAGATTGGCTGATTCATTGAACTTTAGTTTGGAGCCGGCTAAGTCGGTTATCAGCTCTTACTGGGCATGGTTCATTAACTTCGATTTGAGCTCAAACCAAGTTAAACAATAATTGATTTTCATCAATTTCATTCTCCAAAGACATGTTTAGGGCCTTTTTGGCTATAAGTAGGATTTAACTATAGTTGAATTTAGTAAATCCTATAAATTCAGATTTAGTAAATCCGCCAAATTCCTGGATTTAGTAAATCTGAGGATTTAGGATGAAACGAACCCAAAATTGGATTTAAGGGGAGTTAGATTTATATGCACAAAATTTAGGGGTTGTTTGGAATCTCTTTTGATTTTTATTTATTTGTTTTAATTATATTTTGATTTGAAACAAACATATTTGATTTTGTATGACATGTTTAATTAATTGTCTTTAAAAATGTTCAAAATAACTTTTAGATGTTTTGAGTTATTTTTTTTTAATAAGCTATTTTATTTTTAAAAATAAAAGTAGTAACATGAAAAAATGCACTAAATAAATATGTTTTTAAAATAAAAGCAAAAAGATAATAATAATAAAAAAAAAACAAAAAACAAAAACCAAATGTTATTTCAAACAAACCTTTAATGTTTGCCGGATCTACTATAAATATGGCATAAATCTCACTTGAAAGGCTCTCCCAAACATCCACTTAGTCTAACTTATAAATACATACTCATGCATATATTGACCCTTTTTCCTAACAGGATAATTGAGCCCTTGGTGTTTGGAGACTACCCTATGATTATGAAGAAAAATGCTGGATCCAGGCTTCCTTCTTTCACCCAAAAAGAGTCTGAACAAGTTAAGGGCTCGTTTGACTTCATTAGCCTGAATCATTACACATCTTCGTATGTTGCTGACAACTCTGAAATTTCCTATACTGACCTGCGAGATTATAATAAGGACATGTTTGCCAAAACTAGAGGTTTGGTTCTCTTCCTTCTCTTCAAATTGGTCTATCCTTCCAATATAAAATACAGACCTGATAATTAATATAAAAAAGCTTTGTTTCAGGTTTTTTGAATGAAACATCAAGTCAGGTAGGTATAAAGCATTGTGTTGTGTTGGTTGGTGTTATGATTGGGATAAAATGCTTTTAATAATGTTATTTCAATTCTTGAAACAGGGTCCTCCAACTTGTATGCTCAATGATCCCTTAGGTTTTCAAAATATGTTGGAATACGTCAAAGAGAGATTTGCTAATCCTTTAGTTTACATTGAAGAAAATGGTTGGTATATAAAAAAACTATATTTTCTTTGTTGATGAACCTATAGAATGTCATAATGAAAATCACATACATCATTTGATATCTATTAGGCTATGGATTGGGAGCCAACAGAACGGTCAATGACACAGACAGGATTGAGTACTTGAGAGATTATATTGGAAGGATTCTTGATGCAATAAGGTATTTCTATTGGTACTTAAGCCCTTTAATCACATCGGATGTCATAATAAAATATTTTTTGCAATATTACAAAAAAATTCAGGAATGGATCAAATGTGAAAGGGTATTATTTATGGTCATTTGTTGATCTATTTGAGTTTTTGGCCGGCTATAAATCAAGCTATGGGCTCTATTATGTGGATTTTGATGATGTGGAGCGCAAGAGGGTGCCAAAGCTCTCAGCACTTTGGTATTCCAACTTTCTTAAGAATATTAAGGGAGGTGTGGTGGGAGGAAAATCCCTTGCTTCACAGTGATGGTGAATTGTACTTGGAAGATATTGCTGATTTAGACTTATTATTATTAGTTTATGGGTCTTTGTCTTTTATGTGAAAAATAACTTGGCATAAAATGATGATTTTCTTCACATGACAGGCCCCTTGGTTGTAGGCTGATTTCTCAATCTGCCATTTATATGCTAATAGATAATGTTTTTCAAAATGATTGTAAAATACCAATGTTAAGCTCTTGTACAATATCTTTTCTACTTTTTTTTGTGGTTGTTTTTGTCATGCTTTTGATTTTCTAAAACTTCCAAATTTAAAATATTGCTATATAAAATAAAACAAAAGTATATATATGTGTGTGTGTGTGTGTGTCCGGTGGCCTGTTGGATGACAGTTTCAGCATAAGTCATCTCTGTACCAGGTTCGAATCTATCTTGGTCGAATTAACACATATGGGGTGAACAGACATATTGATGTCCATCTTTAAGAAACAAAATAATAAAATATTATATATATCTTTGTGTCTGTGTAATTTCCATTTATTATATATGATATATTTTTTCCATTTATTTTATTGTTTGTCATATCTATTCTTTTATATAGAATTTTACAATCGACCAAATTAAAATGCATTTTGATAGAAACCATAGTTTATTGCTGAGATTTAGAACCTATATTTATTGATAGATTTTCTGTCAGCCATCGATAATTTCCCGCATACAATCAGATAAATAAAAAACATGTGAAACATAATTTTTTTATGTAAAAAGCTCTCATGTATTGGAAAAGGCCAATAGATTATGATAAACTCAAGTAATAGTGAGCCCAAGTTCATCAAAGAAGATAGCTGAGATCCAACTCCGGTGTCAACATTTGAGACATGCCTCCTTTGATTTTTTTTCCAAAGTGTTTTTTTCTTAAATTATTTTGAATTTAAATTAATTTAATTTTAAATGTAATGTATGCTAACTTATAAAAACTCATCATGTTGATAGAAGCGATGATGAAACGTTGATTAATTTGTAAATTTTTAGTAAATTCAAACAAATTATGTAAATTTTTATGTTTAATTTTTAAATTAAATTTAATTACTTTGTTAGGTAATGGATAAAACAGCTAAATGAACTCGCTAAATTAAGTGCATCATTTATATTATATAATTTTATTAATTATTAAATAAAAGTGAATTGATAAAATCAATCAGTAATTTATTGTTGGGGGCATTTACATACACTCCACCCAATTCCTGTGTATTTACTTTCTAACACATAAACTTTACGTTTTTGCATTTATACCACTCAAATCTTTCATATCACATCAAATATACCACCATTTTTACTTTTAAAAAATGAAATCCACCTTTTCATGTATAGGTAAGGTGTCATGCATATAGAAATAGGAAGTTTAGGTGTTGGATATATAAAAGCATAAGAATTGCGTGGTATGAATGTAAATCTGGCTAGGTTCATACCTTCATAAACTGTGGATATCTGAAATCAATAACCATGAATGTAAAATAAGACTGTTACCTTAACAAAATGGATTACTCGATGAGTTTGTAAATGGAATTAAATTTCTCATGTACAAGAGTTCTCCACTGTCTATTTAGAGAAGTCCTTAGTTATCTATAGCACAACCCTACATGCCCTAAAAAGCTTCTAATCCTTCTAACAGAAGTAGGTGGAAGCCATCTGCCCTAAAACAATCCGTCAACCATCATAAACTAACATTTTTCCTAATTTAGCACTAACTTAGTCTCTGCATATCTTTGCACAACTTTGGCAAGGTGTTCAAGACATAAGTCAAGGTATGTGCCAAATATAAAGAATTCATCTATGACAACCTCAATCCCCTTCTCTATCAAAATAAATAATATAGATACCATGAAAGTCTGAAGGGCATCCTCCTAAAGAAAAAGGTTTTATAGGAACTAGTGAAAGTGTCATTTTTATGTTCTTTAGAATCTATAGGAATTTGACGATAACTAGAATAACCATCTAGGAAATAACAATAAGAATGTTAAGACAATTTATCAATTATTTGGTCAAGAAAATGCAAGGAAAAATGATTCTTTCTAGTTGCTTTATTCATTTTCCTATAGTATATACAATTCCTCTAACCAACGACACTCATAGTGGATATAAGTTTGTCCTTATTGTTTCCTAATACTATCACTCATCCCTTCTTGTGTACACTATAATTTAGGCTAACTACTTTAGGATCTCCTTTTTAACTACCTCTTTCCTCACTAGGTTTACTTTTATTTGGGGATTAAACTTTTGTTCATGATCGTCCATCCTCTTAATATCTATTATACTCCACCCAAAGGCTTTCTTAAAAATCCTCAAAACTCTCATCCTCACTCAAATTAGTGAAAATAAGCAAAGCTAAAAAAGCTCCTAAGAATACATACTTTAAGTGCTTAAGGAGAACCTTAAGTTGTAGTTCAGGAGCATCAATTACCAAAGGAACTAAAGGATTACATTAGTAGTAATGCCCAAAACCTTAAATCTATCCCTAGCCACTCTAGGGATTGCCTCTAATGATATAACATATTCTTTATTAGGATCTTCACTATTATCCTTAATTAAGTCTTGCTCTATTGAGTCCAACACCATAGTCTCTCTAAATTGGCCCCTAATCAACCCATCCACAATATCTCACCTATAATAGGTATCATCACAAAGATCTTTAGAAAACATAATTGCTTTCAACACATTAAAAGTAAATTTTTAAAAATGGACTATCATAGTAAGCTCTCATTTCTAAACATCAATCATGGCCCTTCCTATGGATTAAAAAGTGTTATCTAGGTTAATGGTGATATCCTTATTCTCCTCCATATTTAAGACAATAAACTCATATGGGAAGATGAACTTATCAACCTTAAAAATGACATCTTCTATAACCCTCTGAGGATAGGTGAGAGAATGATAAGCTAACTTTGTTGTGGTAGGCTGGAATTCTCTTACTCAAAATTTCATAAAGAGAGACAAAGGCATAAGATTGATACTGACCCCCAAATCACATAATGTTTTCCCAAAGAATTTATCCTCTATAGCATAAGTAATGGTGAAACTAACCAAATCCTTAAGTTCTTATGAATTTTTCTTCTAAAGGATAACAATATATTTCTTTGTTAGGGCCAGTCTCAAAGTTTTTTTTATTATTATTATTCGAGATGTCTTCATAAATGTAACATAACTTTACATTAGTTCTAAAGCTTCTACAAATGTGATATTCATAGTGAACTTCGTGAACACCTCTAAATTCTAAAAAAACTGTTGGTCTAATTTATGTTTTTATGATCTCTAGGAATATGATAGTGGTGATCTTTCAAGCTCCTTCTTAGGAGGTGATGGTATTTTTCCTAAGTTCTATGAAGGTTTCTCAATTAGTTTCTCAGGTTGAGGATCGAACTCCTTTCCTCTAAGTCCTACTTTAGGCTCCTCAAGCTCCTTTCCACTCCTAAATCTTGGAGATTTACACCGCTTCTACCCCTTTTCTTTTGAATTCACTTCAACGTTACTTGAAAGTGTATATTGGGGTCTGCTACTCAAAGAATTTGTTATCTACCCAAATTGATTCTCGATGTTTCTTATGTATATAGCTTGAATTTGTAATTGATTTCTCATTTATAATATTATCTCATTCAAAGATAACTTCTTATCCTTATATTGTGAATTTGAAGTGAATCTCAGCATGTAAGTTGGTCTCTAATTATTATTTCTTTAATTGTTCCAATTTCCTAAGGTATTAGGTTGGTTACTACCCTAAGACTAGTTGCATACATTTTGATTGTTATTCTAATTAAAATTTGAATAATTTCTCTATCCTAGGTAATAAGTATTGGAATAGTGGTTGTTGGATCTATTATTTATTACATTCAAGGTCTATATAGTAGTAGAATTAACTAATTGGCCATAGGCATTCTTTTCGATTGCTAGTGATGCTAGTGTAGAAATTAAACCAAAATTATTTAGCTTTATCATTAGAACTGTTAAAACATTAGTATCATGGACACTGGCTACTTTCCTGGGGTTGACTCTCTCAAAAGGCTATTAAATCATTGGTAGTCCTCTCCTCTATAAGTGTATAGGCTTCCTCAAAAGGTTTAGACATCAAAGAACCCTAGGTGCAACATTAATTGTCAATCTCAAAGATCTCATCAGTCTGTTATAAAAAGTTTAGATAATTAACCAATCACATAGGACATGGTGTGGGCACTTCCTAAGTAATATTTATTATAATTTAGTCACCTAGATCATGCAAAAAAACCCAAGATTATGTGTTTCTCTATTGATTGCACAATCCTAACAGTAATATTCCATTTTTTGCTAAAAAAATGTGTATGTCAACATGGTTCTTCCGCTGGCCTTCTTTCGTCGTCCTAGCTCACAATACATTATAATATTCCAAGTGGTCAATTTGAAAATAAATGAAACATTCAAAGTTAATATATTAACATATCCCATAATATTTTAACATTCACATGACATGAATGTCTCTATGTTACTTAGATTTCCAATCTAAGAGAGAGAAGTTATTAGTTCCTAAGCATGAGAGATGAAAATAATAGAATTTCCAATGAACTAAAGAGAAATCAAGTTTACACAAGAGTAAAAGCGATCAAACCAAATTTATTCTTGCATCACTCCACCAGGATTCTCTTTTACAATGTTTCTCCACTAGCCATCACTCACACTTATAATAATGAAATCCACTCTCTAATATCTCACAAACTCTCACAAAATCCCAAATTCCTCACAAATACTCTCTCACATCATCTAGGGTTAGGAAAATAACACCAGAAGATTGTGTCAATTCTTTTGAACTCTTACAATTTAATGCCTTCAGACTGCCACATAGATCTTTGAATTGTAAAAAATTTTACAAAGTTAGTGTTGGGCACTTAGGTACCATGAGGCGATGACGAGTTTCCTCTAGCTCTGTATATTGGCATGAAGGAAAGTATGGATCAGGTGACAGGAATGGACGCTTAGGAGCTGGTTTTGGGTGTTGGGGCAGTGATCCTAGATGTTGGGTTTCCGACTACTCTGTATTTTGGTAAACTTAGGGAGCATCTTCAGACACCAGGCATGGGCGTGTAAGCGTTGCTCTGGTGAATTTTCCCTTCTTTGCTCCCTGTGCTGACTTTTAGGATGTTTATTACATAAACAAATATACCTTGAAAACACATAACAATGACGTAAA